TGTACTGATTAATGGACTTTTGAGCTTGAATACTGTTCGTTATCTCCATATATTTCATACAAGATGATGTCACTAAACTATATTCAGATATCTCTCGCATAGTGAATATCGTACATTTAATTAAAAGTCTACTTTCATTTTCTATAAACAGCCATGAAATAGCAAAAACATGAGTACGGTGGCGGTTCCAGTTGGCAGATAAGTTACTGGCAATTTCTAATGAAACTGACAACAAGCATTCGCTTATTTATTTCATAAAAAATCATCACTGAATTATTCAATCAAAACTTGATTAAAATGATATAAAAGAAATAAGTTTTGATAACCGATTAAAAAGGGAAATGTGCAAATTATTTTCGTCATTCACCGATCTTAATATTGACTGAAGCTTCTAGAACATCATATAGCATCGAGCCCGATGTTAAAAAGAAAAACGAGGCGATATAGCTGTAGGAACATAAAAAAAAAAGCTTTAGTGTGAATGGTCATTGAAATAAGGGTAAATCATTGATAATACTATAAGTTGTGAATATATTTACATACCGAAAGACTAATAGAAGGTTTTCCTAATAAATGTAAAATTTGCATATTCCTCACCGAGAGCATAGTGACAACGAACCCGATGTTCAGTTTGTACTTCGTTATAAATTTGCTTACATGAAAAGAGAAATTTATTGAATAAAGTATTGTTTAAATACAATTAAAAGCTGTTAAAACATTGTGCTTTAATCAATAAATTTCCTTTTTTTAATACAGTCATTTGTATCAAATACTCGGCCATATTTAAAGCTTATGTTTACCAAAAGAAAAAGAAAAGAAACAAAAAGAGAAAGAAAAAAATGCAAAAAATATTCAATTTATTAGTAAATGTGCATATTCGCTGCTTTGTTCCTCGACGGAAATGAAATATGAGAACCTGAAGTACAGTATCTATAACATAGTATATCAGGTTTCACAGTAAACGTCAATTAATGAAATTGTTATTTTCAGGTTTTTACAAAAGGGGGGGGGGGTGGTGATGTACATCTACTTCTTCTCCAAAGCTAAATGCGGGATTTTCTTCCTGCAATAAGCCTGTAGGCTGTCAGTAGAAACTTACTACAATATATTTTATTGGAATTTTTCTGTCGGTAGTGGTACAAATTCCATTCCCCGTGCTTGCATGTATGCAAAATTAAACAGTTTAGATTGATAAAGTACATTTTTTTATTTGAAATCTCATTTTGAAATAAATTGGTTATAAAACCAAAAGTCTTTGATGGGATTGTAGCTCATCTGGTTTGTACTTATAACAAAGGAAGAAAAAAAAAATAGCACTTGGGTTTGAAGCTTTGCAAGAGCAATAAATAAAAAAAATGATTCTTAGTTAAGTCTTTTTTTAGGGCAAGAATTATTGTAACAAGACTAAAACTGTATTTGAAGCCTTTTGAAAGAATTTTGCAGAAATTTCTATTTTTAGTAACAATGGCAACATCGCTCATCAAATTTAAAAAAAAACCCGATAAAGACAGTTATGTATCTCAGTGTAGTTTACTTGTGTGCAAAGTTATACTGAAATCAGACTTACACTGTAGGAGACTAGGAATAGTAGCATTTTGAAAGTTTTTCACAGATTTCTATTGTAAGTATGTCTGGCAACACCGTTCATCGAGATCAATAAAAACGATACAAAGAATTATGTATCTAAATGTAGTCTAGTGCTAAGTCGTATTGTAATCAGACCAAAACTGTGGAAGTAGCATTTTTAAAAATAGAATGCTTACAGACAGACAGCTTGACCGACACACGAAGGGCACCTCACCTTCTCATAAGCTTTTCTGGTTTCTGACAATTAGAGCTTATGACCATTTTGGCTGGTTTTTTTATCTGTAAACTCATGTTCTCTCCCCTTAAAAAAACAAAAGATTTGGTATGAATTTCTGAAATAAAAAAATCAAGGGGGGGGGGGTCTGGTGTAAGAGTTGGTTTTATGATCATAACGCCAAAATACATTATATATTTTTTATCATATCTCTCCTTGTATATTAAGCACACTTTCTCTCTCTCTCTCTATATATAATTATATATGAGTCAAGCAGGAAAACTGATGAACTAAGTAAATAATTATAGAGTGCAAGGGTGCTCCTATCATAAATAAGAAATTCCTGGATCAGGGGTTCTGGTGTTTGGGCGGAACTCTATCTATTATATAGTGAAGATGCATTTTTATCCTCTAATCAGGGTTGTAATGAACTCGGGTCTCTAAGGTCCTAGGGTGTCTTGTTCATTTCATTTTCCCAAGATCTATGATTTTATTAAAAAAAGTTTTACAAGAAGTATATTTTTAACATGGGGGTGGTAAGATTTGAATGCAAATAGTTACGATTTAATAATGAATAAAAATTGAAAAATTTGGTAGACTATTTAATTTTGTTCTGAATATTCTACAGATGCATTTTACATTTCACATATATTGTGACGTCCATCACAGCGCCGTGCGGCTCATCGGCATCATCACGTGACAGAGATCTCGGGAAAGTTTACGTCATTTCGTCCCAGATCACTGAAACATAAGATATTGCACTAGTCTTCATGGTTAGATGACAATACATTCTATCTGTAATCTCGGGTTTTCTTATCGGAAAATCAATTTCTTTAGATCATCAAATGCACTGGAAATTAAACTTGTGCAATTTCTGTTGATCTAGCTTTATGTGAATCAGCTGATCTGGTAATATCTTTATTAGATAATTCAAAAAGAACTTAAGTTCTAATCTGTCCCCCACTTAATATTATCACCATGCAGACTACTAGTATTAACAAACTATTAGTGCTTCTGTACTATTTTTAAACCCATATTTAGACCTCTAGCATTGACCTCTCTTATGGTCTTTGAAGAACTTTTAATAAGATAAGTTATTTTTGTCTCATTTTTATTTATCTATTACTTACAGGTCTGTCTGATTATTAAAACTAAGAAAGTACTTTTTGAATTATACGATAAACATTCTTGCATAATTATCTTATTCTATTAATCTTTCAAATACATTATTTACAGTGATTAATTATCAAAGGTGAATGGAAAAGGGGAATAACTTCTCTCAGTAGAATACAAATTGATAGAGCCCTGTCCAGGACCAGAATGCTTAGACAAATTGTCCAGATGTTCAAAAATCTGGTAGAAATACGCTTACTTATATCATTTAAACTTTTACTCAGTTTGCTTTCGATATGCCCAGAAGCAGAGAAGAATTTCACAGGTACAATGCATTTTCACTACAGATTCAACAAAGCCTTACCCTAACACCAGAACCCAAGACCAAAGGTCAAGAAATTTACAAATTTGGAAGAGTTACCCTCATCATCATAACTATGGACTTCAAAAATTAACACTTTTCCACTATATTATCAAAAGCCCCCCCCCCCCCTTCCTCGTTATGCCAGAACCCCCTGACCCTAGGACCATAATCAATAGAGCCCCCCTCCCCCCTCCTCAAGAACCCCAAAAACTGAGGCCATGTATTTAAAAAATTTGGAAGAGGCATCCTTGCCTTTCATAATCATGCACTTAGTTTGTTTAAATAATCTCCAGTGCGAAAGAAGATTTCCATAGAATCAATGCATTTTCACTATATAATCAATAGAGCCCCGCCCTAACACCGGAACCCCTGACCCTGGGGCCATGAAATTCACAATTTTTGAAAAGGCATCCTTATGCATCATAACCATGCACTTCGTTTGTTTAAATAATACCCAGGAGCAGAGAAGAAGGTTTTTAAAGAATTAATGCATTTTCACTATATAATCAATAGAGCCCTGCCCTAACACCAGAACCCCTGACCCAGGGGCCATGGCTTTCACAATTCTGGAAGGGGCCCACCTCCTCATCATAACTATGTACTTAGTTTATCACCTTAATGCCCAGGAGCAGAGGAGAAGATTTTCAAAGAATTAATGCATTTTCACTATATAGTCGATACAGCCCCGTCCTAACACCAGAACCCCTGACCCTGGGGTGATGAATTTCAAAATTTTGAAAGAGGCACTCTTGCTCATCATAACTATGTACTTAGTTACTTTATTTAATACCCAGGAGCAGAGAAGAAGATTTTCAAAGTATAAATGGATTTTCACTATATAATCTATAGAGCCTCGCCCTAACACCAGAACCCCTGACCCTGGGGCCATGAATTTCACAATTTTGGAAGAGACACTCTTGCTCTTCATAACTATGTACTTAATTACCTTATTTAATACCCAGGAGCAGAGAAGAAGATTTTCAAAGAAATGATGCACTTTCACTATATAATCAATAGAGCCCCACCCTGGGGCCAGAACCCTTGACCCAGGGGCCATGAATTTCACAATTTTGGTATAGGGCTCAATGCTTATTACAATGATGCCAACAGTTTGACTGCTTGATGTCCAGGAGTAAAGAAGAAGATTTTTAAAGATTGCATTATTTTTGATGGTTTTAGCCCCACCCCTCAGGCCCCAGGGGGGCAGGGACCATGAAATTCACAATTTTTGTTCCCCTTCACCCATAGATGCTATATGCCAAATTTGGTTGAAATTGGTTAAGCGGTTTCAGAGAAGAAGCTAAAAATGTTCAAATGTTAACGCACGACGCACGCCGACGGACGAGAACGGATAGCAATAGGTCACCTGAGTGACTCAGGTGACCTAAAAATTCATGACTATTGTAGAAAAAAAATTGGTATACTTTAAATTTTGCCATCCGATTTGATGCTTTGCATCAGTCTTTTTTTTTTTTTTTATAAATGTAAATCTTGATATTTTTGGCGACACACTAATCTGAAACTTGTCACAAAAATTTTAACTCCAAGTAAATATTTACATTTCACATATAGTGAAAACAATCAAGGATGGCGCGATAAAAAAGCTAGTTAATGTAATTTGTTGTAAGCGTGCATTCAAATTTCATTTTATAGGCTATTGCTTATGAATGATTTTGTAACCCAATATTTCCAGTGCTCATGATCTGACTGTTAAGGTACCTTATGGATCTCGGGAAAGATTCTGAACATATTGGAACAGATAATACAAGAGTTTCCCCTAATATAATGTTTCTAGCCAAAGTAATTAGATATTTTTAAGTATTAAAATAATATTAGTAGAACTGTATGTAATGAACCTGCTGATGATGTGGTGCATTATAGTTGCAGGCAGATCTGTTGTCCAAAATGTCCAAGGAAGTACATATGCAGGACATACAAGTGAGTGAGGTAAAAACGTTACATTGAATTTTTGTATCTTTTGTTAATACTCAAATTATTATTATTTTTTTATTATCATTATATATATATATAGAGAGAGAGAGAGAATAAGTTATATTTTAAAAATCGACAACACTATCTGTAAAAGCAAACAGTTTTATTTTAAATTCTTTAGACAATGTACCTTTAAACATTTGATGTTAAAATGTGATGATACATGCATGTTATCAAAGCATTTAAATTGAGTTGCATATCATTCAGTCGGAGAAAAAAAATGTAAGATTATTTTTTTCTGTATGGAAAATTTTAATGTCATGGATCTTATGCAGTTAAAAATCCCGGTTATTGACCGTTCCGTCCTAAAAATTTAGCGCGACCTCCCGTTTTGAAAGAAATCTTGTTTAACATAATTTGCTAACATATTTTGCATTCTGTAACCCACCTTGTTAAAAAGTCGATCATAATTGACTTATTTATGTCCTTTAAACTGAACCTGTTTACACATTACAGATCGCACGATGTGTCTGATGGTCCACTGCTCGCACTTAACTTTGTATAGAGGTGCAACAGTTGGAATGCAGATTGTATTGCAAATGGGCACAAGTACATTGTATGAATATTGTAAATGAACACAAGTAAATGTATAAAGTTTAGACCTGATCGGAGAGAAAAATACTACTATAGAAAATCAAAATTTTGACTATTGTAATATTTCAATGTATCAGTTTTTACTATGAATAAAATGAATTTTAAATTTTCATCTTCCAATTATCAAATATGATCTTTTTTAAACATTTAAAGTAAATATTGCCTGAATGTTCAATTTTTGTTTATGAGATGCTGTAAAAGAAGCTGTAAAAGAAGTTTTAAATTAAATCTTGGTATAAAACCTAGGTTTTGTAGAAAAGGTTAGAATTAAAGTATTCCGGTAATTCGAAATATTAAAGAATATCAAAGTATTTTTCTAGCAATTTATAATTTGCAATAGTGATAAAAATTAAGTATTTTAAATTTTGTTAGGGTAGAAAGTGCTTTTTTTATATCATTCTTATCATTTGCAGATTTACGGGAATAAGGAATGCTCTCATATGAACATTGTGATGCAAAATTAAATGACTCCACCCTTTTTTGATGTAGCTAAATATTACAAGGCAGTTTATCCCTCTACGACAATTTCTAAGTGAACTCTTCAGTCTTCCTTTTATTCTTGAACTTAGATACGTACTCCCTTTCCCCTTTAACTAGGTCGACATATAGTTAATTTTCAAGTGTTAAATTATCCAGTCTTTAAGGTAAATCGGTACATTTTAGACCAATATTGCTGATACCCCATCACACGATTATTTTTTAAACGTACTAGTATTACATAAATTCAGAGTAGATAAGATGTATTTTGTATTTTCTGCTTAAGGTAAACATTTAACTGCATAAAAGAAAATAATAAATTGGTATAAAAATTAGTAAAAATGTTGCATTGGTTAATTTCGACCGCACCAGGGGTAATTTCGACCCCTACAACATCAGAGAGAAGGATAACTCTTGCAATGAAAAATAACTCTGCATGTCGCATTTTTTCGCGAAATTTATGGCTCGAGAAACTAAATTTTCTTATTTAGATAATACATGTATCTCCTTAAATACATGTATCTCCTTAAATAAAGTTAAAAACAGTGGATAATTATACATGCAAGCATGCTTGTAAATTCAGTAAAGAGCTGGGGTGGGTAAAAGTTTTTCAATAACAGATTATGAACTGCTGCCTAAGGCACTGATCTTGTTGTATCTTAATTCACCAATTCAATATTTTGTGTCAAAAAATTACGCAAATAGAAAAAAAAGATTCCACAAATGATTAATTTGTAATGATTTTTGAACTGCCCAACCACAAAATGGCTTTTATTTTATATCGTTTTTCACATCATTCATACTGTTTATGTACTAGCAGCATGAGAGTTGTGAATATTGTTACATTGTATATTCCGATCTTCACATATACAGTCCATTTGATATGTGTTGTATTACACATTATGTTTAAAATATACGTGTATTTTTAAAAGAGTTAGATCCACAGAAATTAGATTATGTCATATAAAAAGATTTTTACGCAAGCAGTTATTCACCCCACCCCCCACCCCCCCATCTGGTCATAACAAATACACTAAAACAAACAACTCATTTATTACTTATTGTCATGATTTTTTTTTCAACATTGTCGCAGTTCGTTTGGGATACTGTTCCAACAGTTTGCAAACTACTCACGGTTGCCTTGTGATAGGGCGTTCGCTTCGTGATCAGGAGGCCCGGGTTCGATTCTCGTGCCTCGTCAGAGCTATAACGAAACCCGAAACACCTATTAGGTAGTGACTCTATTCGCCAAGCGCCCGGCACTAGAAGTGAAAGTCAGCGTCTTTCGGGTAAGACCTAAAAAAACCGGGATAGACGTTGCACGATAAAGAACCCTCGCTGCTCAATGGTCCTGAGTGCGGAGTTTAGGTCTAAATTTGAAGCCCTTCACCGGCATATGAGCGATAAATTCTCGATTGGGACGTTAAACATACAATCAATCATTCTAATAGTTTGTGTTTCTTGACTGTGTGATACGATATGATAATAAGGCCTACTGATGGTTTGCAAGTTTTCGACAGCCCGATTGAAAGTCTTGTTCTCAAAAGCTTTCGTAATACTAAACAGCATTCTGAGAGTATTGCATAAGCAATACGTCAATGTATTTGTTCATCGTCACCGAAACAAGTGAATCATGTGCCTTTTATCCAGAATGTGGTCTTTTAATGGGACCCAAATATAACTCTGCAAATATAGACTTCCCAAATATAGGGGCGAAATGTATTCTTTTTTACAAGTTAAAAATGGATATGAAAAGATTACTGCTTACTTACATTTCTGTTACAGTCGAAAGACAAACCTGGCGGAACTGTCAGACTTTTGACAAAGAAAAATGTTACTCTTGGAGCTATTGTTGTACTTCTAATTGTCGGTATAATAGCAGCAGTTGTTTCTCTACTTACACTTGGACAGGATAGGGACAAGAAATTACGTACGTAGTATATATGTATAATCCCAGGTAAAAAAAAATTAGTTATAAAAACAACAGTGTAGATTCTGAACTTCTCTAAGAGACGTTACTCAATGTTCCCCAATGCAAACAATTGGCATGAATTGCACCTTTATTTTAAGGAAAAGATATTTTATACACGTTCTTGCAATTTAAACTTTTTTTTTTTACAGAGAACCAGGATTGCCCCAATGTGCTTTCTCCTGGAATGAGCTACCCTGCAGTAGGAAAAACAGGTAAGTTGGAGAAGTAAGAAAATTTAAAAAATAATAACTGTATTATCACTTATTTTTGTGGCGGCAAATTTTAATAGTTTGAAGGAAAAAAATCTAAGTTGGGGTTGACTTGATTTCTTGATTTTTAAATATTCATATTTCGCGGTGAAAATGAATTCGTGGGTCTCTTCATACCACGATAACAAAGAAATTTAAACCCCAATGAAAATTAATGTTTTCACAGTATATTTCCGTCACCTAGATTCACGGTACAATCTTGTTTGTATTTAAAAACACTTTTAAACTGCTTCACCTGTTAGTTACTTTCTGTTGAACACAATGTTTAAAAAACGTAATTTATGTGATATGTTTGCTTTACAGGAATTCAGGGTCGTCAATTCTTGGTTTGTTTTACTGAGAATCACCCAAATGCTAGAAACCAAAACAAGACAATATATATTTTATCAGATGAGGAATTTGAGTTTGTGTTGATTTCGAAGTTTTTAGATTCACCACAGTTGAATACGGAAGTAAAGACACAGTCGATCAACTTTAATAAGGAGATAAACGTCATAAATACGATTGCACTGTCCAGTTTCCAAGTCGAACAAAAAGCACTACTGATCGAGACGACCGAGGACGTGTCCGTTATCATTATCGATAATTATATACATACGTCTGATAGCACTACAATTTTACCATTAAAGTCGTTATCGAATTCATACATCATTTCTACTGCAAAGGCAAAATCCACGATAGTAAAAAGTTCACAATTTGCGATAGCTTCCCCACAAAATGGTACTATAATTAGAATTAAATTTCATTTTGATCCTGATTCCCCAATAATAATTAACGATACAACATACCGAAATGGCAGTGAAATGACTCTTGTCTTGGATGAACTTCAAACCTATCAAATACAACACTGGGCTGATATGTCAGGAACAGTTATCAATGCAACTTCCCCTCTCGCAGTTTTCGCTGGAAGTAATTGCAAAATAATACCTTTTATAAACAGCACTGAAGCTCAAAGTTGCGGTAAGCTTGATGAGCAAATTCCGCCAATTGATAGACTGGATAAAATGTATATTGTTCCACCAAACTTTAACAGAAATGGAACATTCCTGAAAATCGTGTCTCCTTTCGAAAACCGCCTTACATATAAGATTGGAAATAAACAAACAGAAAAAACTCTTAATCCAAGTGGATACCTTGAAATCTATTTTTTGAATGATGAAGTTGTTGTAATAGATTCAGAAAAGTCAGTTTTGGTCACTAGTTTTGCTACTGGATCTTACGTCACAGGTGACCCTTATATGATAACTGTACCAGGGATAAGGCAGTATACAGATAAATATCTAGTGGAAATCCCTGAAAATTATAAGGAAAGTTACATCTGTTTAATGGTTGAGGAAAAATCTCTTCACAACCTGGTATTAAATGGAACAGAAATCATACAATTCTTAAATGACACGAAATTCAATGCCACCTTGACGATAAGGGACATCAACTTTGTCGTTCTAATTCTTCAAGTATCGGGAGGTATGTTAGATATTAAATCTTCCAATACTGCGGCTTTTGGCTTAGTCGTGTATGGTCATAGGCAGGAAGACGGACACGGGTTTGCAGGAAAAGCAGTGTTACCCGACATATGTGTTCACTCTTATGAATAGTAAAGGCGACTTTTGTGTCATTTTGATATCTAGCGGTTTCCAATATGCCATCATGAACAGGTTATTATTTCGGAACAAGAATCAACGTAGTCCTGCTTAAACAGCGATGAAAAATATACAACCATGGAGACTCTGTGCTCTGATATATCTTTTTTAAATCATACTATTCGAAATGAAAACGGTGTTTTCTATATGCATACAACAAAGAATGCAATAAGAGACTCGGTTGATCAAAAAAACACATTCAAGGTTGAATCGTCATATACATAGTTACGTAATTCATCTTAATCAATATAGTCACTAAACGAAAATTAGTAATTAAGACTTTAAAAAGATGGATATTTGTACATTGTTTATGTGCATAAAATCGATGGGTCACTGGAGTTTCAACAAAGTGGAACACTATCTTAACCAGATACATGAATTCGTTATGCTATGGAGACGAAAAAAAAACAATAAGCAACAAATTTAGAGCTTTTGTATTACGTTCGTAAAACAGAATCTCAAATTCGATTGACACTCTTACAATTATTCATTCGAACTCAAGGATCCGTGAAGTCGTCGAAGGTGAGTGACAGAGGGCAAGAAAAATAGTCATTTCACTATGACATTTTAAGCTTGATTGTGCAAATTAGAGTTTTTCAATTATTTTAATTGGGCACGTATTGGACATAAGGTTTTAACAATGCCACGATCTTTATCATGAGGAATTTAATAAGTGGTAGAATGTTTTTAGAACGTATATATCAAAGATAACACTGTATTTATAGCGATTTTATTAGTGGTAGTATTTTATTTATATGTATCAATCCAAAATTAAAGTGTGTTTATCCAAGAAAAAAATGTTTTGTTTGTTTGTTGTAAAATGTTCCTCGAGAGAATTTTTCACTCATATTGAGACGTCACCACTTGCCGGTGGAGAGCTGCAAATTTTGACCTATGCTCGGTACTCAGGGCCATTGAGCAGTGAGGGGTCTTTTTCGTGCCAGCACTTACTGCGACACTGCACCTCGGTTATTTCAATTGGGCACTTATTGGACATAGGGTTTTAACAATGCCACGATCTTTATCATAAAGAATAATCTTTTCCTAGAAAATTTTAACACACATTGTGGTTCAACCCCTGCATAAATGGATTGTGAATTTAAAAGAACAGATAATATTTTTTTTCTCTCAAAAATCATCAAAAGAACAATTCTAATCTATGTTTATGCGAGTAGAAAAAAAAATCCAAATAGAATTACATTTTTCATTCAAAATAATTGTTATGTGCTCAAGTGAGCAAACAAAACTAAGTTTTGTAATGGAAGTCAATGCATTTTTATGTAAAAATAAAACAGTAATTGGAAAAATTCTATTTTTCTTGATTCAAAAGAGGAAAATCGAAAAAACAAAACTGTACGTGCATATATAGAACAATATAAAATTGTGTTAGAGGAAAATAGTAACATTTTTACCAATGATAACCATTCCATTGGTAAAAATGCTGGTATGAATGCTTCCCTTTTCTCTTCTTTTTTCTATTTTCCGCTTCTTCCTCGGTAAGTTCCCCCCCCCCCCCCCCACATATTCAAGGAGGAAACTTCCTTTCGCAAAGTTTTTCGTTGCAAAAACACCAGATCCTGTTAAAAATTAAAGCATTGACGAAAGATTTGTCACAGAGACATTTTCTTTTGAACTTTTTGTAAGACACTTCACTACTACTAGGATTTTTTTAATTGCACAAGAAAATTCAAATTCACAAGACTTAGTATATCTTTTTTCAACAAATAAAATTGTGTCTGCTCATTTAAAAAACAACATTGAAATACTTTATCATGTTTATTTGAAAAGCAAAGTTAATAGCTAACATCAGTGAAATTAAATTGCTCTTTTTTCCCAAATATTACTATTAGGGTAACATAAATCATTGTACACCTGCAACTTCCAGTTTTACATTGGGCTGATAATTTCTCAGAGCAAGTTGTAATATATGCATATTATAATGAATAATGTTACATTTTTATTACCAATTTCTGCATTTATATATCTTTATAGGCCATCTTTATCTACGCCAGCTTGGCAAAAGAATTCTGCTTCTTCCTTGGGACTTGTACGGCGTTTCTGACAATAACAATCAACAGATAAATGCAAATTGTGTCTTAATTATAAATGAATTCATTTAAAATCAAATATCTATCATTATTCTCTTATTTAATTAAATTATAATTTTTAACAAAATTTTACTCACATTCAAAAGATGCTGGTTTTCTAGACTTTGTTTTAACTACAAAAATCAAAATCAAAATACTCAGAACTGTAAGATGAACAGAACTTAAATGGGCCAAAAATTGACATAATGTAAAAAACATGTACATGTACATATTGGAACATCTAAAACAAGGGAACCTAAAAAAAGTAATATTGCAAGTATTATTGACTTGTAAAACTGCTTCTTTTGGTATTCAATTTCCCTTTAGTCGCCCGCATGGCGCAATGAACATTATGAGACAACAGATGGCAACTGCAGCAGTCGGATGGATTGATTGATTGCATGTTGTTTTACGTCCCATTCGAGAATTTTTCACTCATATAGAGACGTCACCATATACCGGTGAAGGGCTTCAAATTTTGACCTTTACTCGGCACTCAGGGCCATTGAACAGTGAGGGATCTTTATCGTGCCAACGCCTGCCGTGACAAGGGACCTCGGTTTTTAAGGTCTCATCCGAAGGACCCGCAACTTTCACTTCAAAGTGCCGAGCGCATGGCGAAGGAACAGTTGCTACCTATTTTTTATCGACTTAGGTCTGTCGCGGCCGAGATTCGAACTCACGACCTTCCGATCACGGAGCGAGCTCTCTACCGTCTGAGCTACCGTGAACGGTGCAATCGGATAGCAACCGGTATATGAAGTTTTAGATGTCATTTTTGACAAATGATTATTTATCTGGGCTGCATTCAAGTTGTACACATTGTTGTTGTAAGAACTACGCACGCTAACTCTCGATTCCCGCCTACATTTTACAACCATTAAATTGATAAACTATACTATACACAATACCAAAGGCGATTTGGCCATAAAATCCTTGTTTAATGCAAAGAAGAGTTCAATTGTAATAATTAATAATTTTGATACCAGTGTTAACTAGTTAATTACTCTTAATTCCAACTCTTTTTTATAAGGGGGTAGACAATGTTTTCCATTGAAATCGGGTTTGAAAGCATCAGCATAATTTAAAATATTCTTGGATATGGATAAATGATCCTTAATTCTTTTCTTATGTTTCACGCACATAAAATTAAACAAATGTTATTGATAAAATACAACGTTTAAGTTGTAAAACCCTTCAAAATTGGTTTAAAAAAATGAGCATGTTTGTCGTTTATTGTCTGTAAAGATATGCCCCCCCCCCCCCCCCGTGAAACAGAAAAAGCTTTGGTATGAATTTGTGAAATAACGATCCATATTACCTGTAAAAAAAGAAATTTTTGTTTCACGGGGGGGAGGGGGGGGGGTGATGTTTTAAAAATATTTTCTGTTTTCCCTTGATTTCTATAGTGAAAAACACTAGTTTTACCAAAATTTAATAGTTAGCTCTCTTTTGTTTTCCGAAATAATTTATGTTTTATGAAAATTCATATAAATATCTATATACATATGAAAAATCATTCAAATACAGACCTGTTTACCCTAATTGTTGTCTCTCAGTATTTTTTATTAGATTTGTCAGTGAGATTTGGCATTTGCCCGTAAGATTTCACTTTTCATCGACTGTACATATATTACTAGAAAACAAATACATTTCTGATTACCAAAACATGGTTTAATAGCAAAGCAAAACATCATACCCTGCTTTCTTTTGAGTGATTTCTGTCGTTTTTTTAAACCACCGCATTTTGGCAACTTAAATGTTTGAAATTTTTATTTTTTTAGCGATTAAAAAGCGTCAAACTGAGACAGATAACGAAAACTAATTGCTAAAATCCATATGAACTGATTTCCGTATTTTCGTTATAGCAAATCGTCAGACGTATTTTGGACTGAAAATCCGTACAAAATACGGCGAAATCGTAAGAGTAAACAGGTCTGCAAATATCTAAACTTTTGAAAATTGACTTAGAGATAGGCGGGAGAACAATACTATCGCACACAGTTCTATGTAAATTTTGTATTTACTGCCACCCGTTAAATTCAAAATATATACATCCTGACAATAGCGCTACGATCTAGAACGGTTTGCTAACCAGCGTTTAAGTCGCCCGCGTGGCGTAGTGATTATAGCGTCTGCTCTAGAGTCGACAAGTTAGGAGTTGATCCTTACGTCACGAGTTCGAATCCCTCTGTGGGACGTGGAGACCGGTTTTCGGATGAGACCGTATAAACCGAGGTCCCGTGTCGCAGTAGGTGCTGGCTCGAAAAAGAACCTCACTGCTCAATTGCTGTAAGTGCTGAGTATAGGTCAAAATTTGCATCTTTCCATCGGCAAGTGGTGGCGTCTCCATATGAGTGAAAGATTCTCGAGAGGGATGTTAAACAACATACAAAAAAGCCCTTTATAGAATAGAATTTTTTATACCCTCTACTGTTCCTACTCTATATGAACATGCTTAATGAATACAATTAAATGGTTCATTTAAATAAATGTAATTTTCTTTTATAAGATAAATTCGGCTTTATATCAATGCCAGTGCACGCATTAGTTCAAAATTAAATAACAATTAATATCTAAAAGTTCAAAAAATGTGAAAATAAAAATGGATGTATAGGAAACAAGAAATAAAATATTACAATCCTGCTTTATTTGTTGATTGTTGACTTATAATTTACAAAAAAATCTACATCTAATTTACGTCAGAAAAAATAAGACCAAATAAAAGAAATATATTTTTTTTTTTTATATAAATATGTATTTATGCAGCAATATAACCTTGTCACCTGCACATATGGAGTTCATATCTTCCATTTGATTCAATACGGAAGAGCCTGCTCCATGTAAGAACAATTTGTTAAAGGTGAC